TCTGTCAATTTTAGTTAAATCTGACACCATCATAACTGCATTGTAAGTTTGTGATTTTGATTTGGTAGATATTCTGCAGAAGCAGAAGTTACTGCAATTGACCACCTTGGCTTTTTTCGCTAGCAAACACGAAGTTTCACCAAATAATTCACATTCACCATTTCCTGTCGTCGTCGTTTGACGGCTAAAACGTGCAGTCAAAACTTCAGCGGATATTTCGCTCATTTTTGCAGCAAAAACAATGAAACTTAGCGAATGGTAACTTCGAAAAGCTGGTAAGCCAAACCACTTCGTCTAGATTTTTTCTGAAGATTTGCGGAGCCCACAAATGGACCTTTGAGTTAGTGACAGCCAGAGAAATCGCGGTCTCCAATCTAGTGGGTTGCCAGGTCATTTGAACGTAGGCACAATGATAGATTGACTCTCGGTCAAAAATTGTAATGTTTCTGTACTTTTTAACCTAATAGTTTTTGAATTTCGAAAAATACAAAGCGGCTTTTCATGAGAAACAGCGTTAGAACCAGCTGGAAATAATAAGGATATGAAAATTTTTCACAACTTCACAAACTAATGATAGACAGAATGATAGAAATGGATCCATGATCTAATGAGATAACGGCAATCGTATGGACATGCATTTTTCGCACCTCTGTGGCCTTCATATCACGCTCTTGCTTTTGAAGCCCGGAGACAATAATTAATGAGTATACCTCATGAGCGATCAAATCACTTAAAAACTATATCGTTCGATTGCAAATCAAAAGCTGGTTCGAGTCATATATTTCACATAAGATTTTGCTGCTGGAAATTTTTTCTTTATTTTGCTTTAGGAAGGAATGATGAGCAGGGACTTGCACTGGATTTCTGAGATGTAGCGTTTTTACAGGAGTGGCAAGTGCAAAAAAATGAAAGAGTGAGTACTAGATCTTACTAATAGGGTAGTTGGTGAAAATATAGATAAATCATTGAGCTGTGATATATCCACAAAATCAGGAATTTTACAGACATGTCCGAAAAAAAGCGTGCGCGCTGTACTTTGACGGCTTTTAACAGAACGTGAAATGGCTTATACATTGTAAGATTAGTAGTCCAGCATCTGCTGATTCTGTTCAACAATTCTATGTACTGAGTTTGCTTACTCCCTTTCCTGTTTCTTCGGTAAGTCACGAGAAAATGGACTTCTCGAACATTTTTTAAATGAATGCTTTATGCAGCTTATTGGGTACATTGACAAGTCGAAAGCACATTGACAAGTTGAAAGCATTTCAATGCTTATTCTACTTATGTTACGGAGTCAACTTTTGGAAATATCCGGTTTTTTTAAACTGAATTTGATTTTTTAAATAGAAAAATTCATGAAAGCCGTAAACGATTCTGGAATTATGGGTCAGACTACGAATATGTTTCAACAACAACATCATGTGCCACCATATTGATAACTTTGATAATAAATCGATACACTGAGGTCACTACGGCTATGGCCAGAGCCAGCCTTATTAATTAGGGCACTATGAGGGACCGAAAAAAATCTGGGAAAAAAATTTGTGGTTTTACAGAATCTGAGCATATCCTCAGATAGCTTGAAACTCGCTTGTTCTGAATGTCGACATTAGAATTCGCTGGGGAAAGCGTGAAAAAAGTTGCGCCAATCCGGCTTTTCCGACGTTGCATGGCGTTCATATCGTCGTATATTTCGGTCGATAGTGCAAAAGGTACCAAGACAAAAGATCCTGCAATATTTGAGCATACCCACAAGTAGATAAAAACGCGCTGATTTCAAATATCTAATCGGAATTTCAGCTGAAAGACTTTGAGCCGAGTTACAATAATGCGGCGCTTCCAGCGCGACATTGAGTTTAGATCGCCGCTGGCATGGAGCCAAAAAAACTTGTAAGAAAGACTCTGAAGTTTTTGAAAACGTTTTTGGATAGCTTAGGAGACGCTGGCTCCAAATATTCGAACTAGAATTTCATATGTTTGGGTTGAAGAAAGTTATGGGGGAGCGGCGATACCAACGCGGCAATGCGTTTATACCGCCGATGGATCTAAAAAAAGATCTTTGTGAAGGAAATTTTGAAACTTTTGAAAACACTTTTAGATTGTCCAGAAGGCGCTGGTTTCGTATATCTAAGCTAGAGTTCAATTGGTTGAGGTTCAAGCCAGCTATCGCAATGCGACATTTTCGGCGCGACAACGCGTTTATATCGCAGGATTTCAAGGCGGCAGTGTTGGTACTGTATTTAGTGAGCTCTCGAAAAATTACCAAAATCTGCGACTCATGCTTTTTGCCATGGTCAAGTTAAGCTATTTTTCTGAATCTTTGTTCCTATTCTCCGAAGAAGTACAAGTAATAGTTAGGTAGTGCAAACCCTATAGGACACAAAGCAATTTTTTCTTTTGGCTTGTTTCTTAGAGTTTCTGGAACCAGTTTTTCAATGCCATCAAATCCCATATTTGGTCAACTCAAACCTCACAGAGCAACAGCCGGCAAGCAACTCGGGTGTCATTCGACGCAGCTTTTTCTCCTCTCTCTACCAGTTGTTTTTTTGTTTCCGAATCAACAAGTTTTCCGGGATAAAATCATCATAATTCAGATTTTCCAGGGCGCCTCAGGGTGTACCCGGAAATTTCGAAAGTTGCTAATGTGAAGCGGTGAATGCCCATTTGGTTTTTAAAATTATTGTCAAACCATAATTCATCTTTTTAAGTTTCAAAATCCGAAGATTTATTGGTGTTTGATGCATTTATGTCTGAGACGTGTCTGCCAAAATTCGGTGGTTCCATCAAAAAATCTATACAAAAATTGTAACGAGATCTGGAAAGTAGAAAAAAGTTGTGCTGTTTCCTATAGGGTTTGCTCTACTCATCCATTACTTGGACTCCTTCCGAGGTTTGTTATAGTAATTTAGAAAAATCGTGAAACTTGCCCTTCTCAAAAAGCATGGGTCGCAGGATGCTAATTTTTCGAAAGGTTATTAGATTTTGTGCAGTGTTTATATAACCGTTAGAAAGAGAATAAAATGTTGCATCAAATCCTACCAGAACCTCTTGCGCATCTTTGTTCCACGAGATGTGGCGTTCGTTTGAAAAAAGCGACATTACTTTCGGAAAGACCTAATATTATGCTTGTTGGAATCTCTACGAGAATTTCTGCCAGTATACCTTTAACGTTTACATCTGGAATTTTGGTGTAGTTTGCTTTATCGCAAATGTTATGGGATAGTTTATGGTTCTATACACGCATAGGCAACAATAAATCTGCTGTCATGATGGCGCTCTTCTCACCGTAGAAAAATTGTTTTCAGCTGTGTGATCATTTTTTTACCAATTCAATCCATGAAAGCTTAGTTTTACTTTTTTCTCGAAGAACCTAAATTTTACACGTTTCGAATAGTTATAATGCTGTACATTGTCATTGCTACTGTGTCCTATTGTATTATTGTAATGTTGTAAACGAGTCCAATTTTTGTGAAACTTCGATTTTTTCTGAACAAAGAATGTCAATGAGAAAATCTCCAAAGTCTCTCCGTCTTAGGCCTCGGACAGAGTTCACGCAATTTGATCGTCGCGATTCAATCTGTACAGACAAGTGTTAAGGGCCGGGCATACTTGACGCGATTTCAGTCGCGACGCGATTTGGCAATATTCCAACTGTCCATAACTCATTATAAGCACATTTCAAGTAGACAGAAGATAGGGCATTTCACCAATTCACGTAAGCTATACACACTATGCATGTGCATTTTGCTAGTGTTGAACGAGTTCATTGCATGCCAATGTTCTTGCATTTCGGTTGTGATAGTTTTCCAACACGGCTAGTCGTGACTAACTATCACAACCGAAATACAAGAAGATCGGCATGCAATGAACTTGTAAAACTTGTCTGTAGCGATAGAATCGCAAAGATCAAATGGCGTGAACTCTGTCCGAGGCCTTGAGCACTAGGTATAGCTATAGATTTTTTTACTCGGCACTACACTTTACTACACTTACATCACCAATATTAAACATTCCTACAAGATAAGAAAGCTGAAATTTTTTCAAACGTATTCTTCAAGGAACTTAGTTGTTCTCAAGTAATCATTCCATAAGCCTTTCTAAGCAACCGTAAATTTCTGACTCCTTACAAGAGCTAGCATATGTTCCGGAAGATAAGGGCATTATAAGTCCTTTGGATAAAAGAGGAGAAGACAACGACGGTACAAATTTATAAAACTCTGTTTATCCGTCTGCGTTTTTGCGATTTTCACAAAACATCGCTTTCCTGAACGTTGGCGAAAATGCTTACAAGGGAATGGTCAGAAGTCGAAGTGGCCAATCCAAACAAGCTGCATGCCATCCGATGCAGCATAGAACGCTAATAAATCTGCCTTTCATATCTGCAGAGCGCCTTTGTAGGCGAAGTTATGAGCAGCTTTACTGCGAAAAAATCATACACAAAAATTGCAAGATTAGGCACACTACTGCCCTTTCAGCTCATCTTTGAGTACGGGCCATATAAAGAGACCTAGTTGCATGTTTTGGTCCAACACTGAGCCGAGAGTGGCTTTGTACGGCCAAGTTTGAGCTTTACACGCACGACTTCTCAGCAAAATAATGGCCTTTAAGCGACTTATAATTTCATCCACAAAAGTGCTCTGCAGATAAGGAAAGCAGATTTAGAGTGAGCGTTTTATGCTGCATCTGACGGTGTGTAGTTTACTCGAATTGACCACTTCAATTTCTGACCACTTCCTTGTTAGATACAACTTTGATATGGATGGCTGATTAATTCTTTCGGCACCAACACTGGACCAATTTTCGCTTAGAGTTATTGGAGGCATATAACTCTGTCCCGCCCCTAAAACATAAGAACTTCTCGTTTTTGCTTTTACCAATTCGAAGCATCCAGGACTAGTTGTACACTTTATAAAGCTTCCTGTACTAAAGATGATTGTCGATAACTCGCAAAAGTACAAGAGCAAACACACTGTATGTGCTTTCAAATCTTCGTTGAAATATTTCAGCTTTTTCAGCTGACAAAGATATGCTCGTATTTGCACTGCTTGTCTACGGCGTCTGCATGACAGACTCGCAGTTCGCGATGATGCCGCCTGTTCCCGGCTTTCTTCCATACGAACGTTAGTCTTCCAATTCAAATGGTTTGGAATTGCTACTTGCTATTTTCCAATTTAGAGATGATGCATGCTCCTTCCCAAATGGGAGGTTTACCCGGAGGTGGAATGCCTGGTATGCCATTCATGGGAGGAATGCCTGGTATGCCAATGGGTGGAATGCCTGGTATGCCATTCATGGGAGGAATGCCACTAGGACCTCCTATGGTTATGCCGTATATGCCATTCAATGGACCACTAGCAATGCCACCAGGAGGAATGCCAAGAGTGCCAGCAGGAGCAACAACGATAACTCCAACAGGATTTTCAGGAATGCCTGCGGGAACGCCACCACAAGGAATGTCATCTGGAGGGACGCCAGCAGGATTATCAGGAACGCCACAACAAGGAATGCAGTCAGGGGGAAAGTTAGGAGTAACAATAAGAACGCCGCCTGGAGGAATGCCACCAAGAGAAATGCCACGAGAGCCAATAGGAAGAACACTGAGAATGGCTTTAGCAGGATTTTCAGGTATGCCTGCAGGAATGCAACCACAAGGAATGTCATCTGGAGGAATGCCAGCAGGAAGGCCATCTGGAATAATGTCACTAGGAGGAATGTCAACAGGAATGTCACCAAGAGTACCACAGAATAGAATGCCTATAGGGAGTGGGCCTGGAGGAATGCCTCCAGGTGTGCCATCAGGAATATTATCAGATAGAATGCCACGGGAAAGGTTGAAAACAGGAACACCACCAGGAAATTTGCCAGCGAGAGGATCACCTTGGAAAAATGCTATCAACAATGACGCTAGGAGGGAAATCAGGGAAAATGGTGGAATGCTTCTAAGCGAAATGCCGCCAAAAAGAATGCCATTTGGAAAAAGGCCACCAGAGATAATGCCACCAAGGGGAATGAAGAAGTGAAAAAAATGAAAGAGCTGAAAATACCCTTGAAATCACTCCCTTAAAGTAATCCAGATTCTGTACTAACACGCAAAAATGAATGAAGGTATATAAAAGGTTTTTTAGAAATGCAGCTACTGAACCTCCTTATCTTTACTCGCTCTCCATCTCTCACAAAAAAGTCACATGTGGCTGATAATCACATATATGCAGTTGATACCTCAAAAAGATAGAATTAGAATTCAATGGTATCTTATACATAAAGCTAAATGTCTGTTTGTATGTCTGTCTGTATGTCTGTCTGTGTGTACGTATGTTCCGAACAGAAAATTCCATTTCTGAACCGATCCGGACCAAACTTGGCACACGTACACTTCGGGCCCCGGCGGGTGTCGTAGGCTACTTTTCGTCATCAATCGATATCGATTTTATCGAATTTTGCAAAATTTGAGCTACAGGGCTGGGAGTGGGCACAGGGGGTAATCGAGCATGCTGATTACAAATATAATATTGACAGGGCCGGGCGGAGCCGGGTAAGCCATCTAGTTGAATATAATAAAATGGCTCACGCGTTTCGGTGACGTATCGCCCTCTTCAGAGCGCTGTAGGGCCGGGCATACTTCACGCGATTTCAGTCGCGACGGGATTTGGCAATATTCCAACTGTCCATAGCTTATTGTAAGGACATTCTAAATGTACAGTAGATAGGCCATTTTATCAATCCACGTAAGTTAAACACACTATGCATGTGCACTTTGCTAGTTTTGGATCTGAAGGCTGCGGCGATTTGCCAAATCGCGTCGCGACTGAAATCGCGTGAAGTATGCCTGTCCTTGTGACAAAAGTTTAAGCGCGATAGCTAAAGACCCACCGCAGCCGCTACTGTCCACTATCCTGAGATAGCGGAACTGAAAGTCACGTGGGCTTTTCCTCGCTGTCTATTTATAGTCCCACGCTGATATGCTGTAAGATCACTTACGGCTATACTGTCATCCTTTTTATTCATTTGGGAGAACGGAGGATGTAGAAGGTCTAAAGGGTTTTACGAGTTAGAATTCACATTTTGCAATAAAATTAATACAGTAATTTCTGTGATCGTATTTTGATGACACTCTATACCATGAGCTCCAAGTGCAGTAAAGATTTCGAGCTTTGCAAACATCTACTCAAACAATCGCCGGCGGTAGGCGGGCATCGGAAACTAGATGGCTGATTTCTCGCACCCCGCTCGCGGATTTTTAGAAAGCAATCAGATTTTTTCGGAAGGCCGCTTGCTGAGTTCGCGATTTCAGAGATTCAGCAATATATCTGCAAAAGATAAGAGCGGAAAAAAAATTCAACAGGCGGTCTCTCAAAAACTTGCTGACCATTATCCTGGAATGTGCGAGCGGAATGCAAATTTTCAGCAACGCGTATTTTCCGACACCCGCCTGCTCCGGTGATTGTCTGAGTAGATGTTCTTTGACACGAGAATTCTGTGGACGTCCTGTTTCTCTTATTTAAGTAGCCCCGCATGCATTGCATGTTATTTGGTAGAGAACGCCGGATACCATACAATCTCCCTCTTCACCATACGGATAAATTTGGCGAGCGTCATGTAGAGACGATCAAGGAGGCGGTTGAGCACTAGTTGCTGCTTAAGCTTTGCTGGAGGTATTTCTACCACCCTTACCATAACTTGTAATCCGGCTTGAACTAAGCTTCTACGAATTTCCTACTTAATCTATCTGAAATGAAGGACAAGCAAAAGGAAATCTTTTGATTCTCGAAACTTGCCCATAGCAGCAGACGTCGAAATGGAATTTGTAGAAGGTGCCCATTACGACATGCTACATTGTTCGCCATTTTCAGAGAAGGTTGGGTTTTTGAAGTCCAGATGAAACCTGTGATGCTGTCTTATACATATTTTCATTAATAGAATTCTTAACTCAGCGCGGATGTGCCGACATGTAGCGCACTAAGATAGTTTGGAGCTAGGTTTGCGGTACCATTTAGCCTTGAACCTCCCATCAACAATTCTCATCTGCACCCTCAAGAATACAAGCCAGTCATCCCTGGGTTTCTCTCTAATGAATTTGATCTTTGAGTGCTGATGATTTGAAAGATCAAAACAAGTGTCCATTTCGTAGTGAGTGGGGCATACTGTTAAACAGTCATGACTATCATTAAATCAACATAACATTATCAACTCGGCAATACTAGAGAGAAAAACACAAGGATTACAAGATATGGTAATAGTGGTAAAAATCCTCCAGCAAATCTCATGCAGCAACTAGTGCGCAATCGCTCCTATGATAGTCTCTGCATGACCAATGCTTGCCCAATTTGTCTGCATGGTAAGGAGGGAGACTGTATGGTGGGTCACTAAAACACTACCATAGGAATTTTTGCATCAATTTTAGTGCAAGAAATTCTAGCGCGTAAAACCATTGAAGCCTTCTACATCTACGCCCTGCTCCCCAATAGAAAGGATGACATATAGCCATGATTAGTGATCTTACAGCTCGCTAGCGTCTTGGGGACTCTAAATAGACAGCAGAAAAGGGTCACGTTAGTTTATTCAGTTCCGCTATTTAGGATAGTGGACAGTGGCTGCCCGGTGAGTCTTGAAATGTCGCAGTTAAATTTTTGTTATAGAGCTTTGAAGAAAGCGATACATCGTCGAAACGCTTGAGCCATATTATTGATTTCTATACCTTGGTTAAGCTCAAATATCAAACGAGCTTCATATTGTTGAGTTTGGAGCGTTGAGTTTGGAGCGCATTTATATGTGTGGAGCAGGACTGTGTTAATTTGGGATTCTCACTCAACAAGAGACATTTTGAACCTGTTCAGGAAGTTCTATACATTTTGATATGTGGGTAAAAATGGAAGAAAAAAGAGAAAATTAGGGAGGAAAGAACATACGTTTCTTTCTGTTGGCTCTACATCAAGCAGCTCACACAGTGTCAGCGTAGCACATTATAAGGAAAAGACGGCCCAATACCTCAAACATTGTTCCTACTCTCTAACTCGTTCACATCAGTGCCAAATCTTGTGTCGCTCTTGTGACACAAGACTTGTGTCTTGCAAACACCCCTTAACCTCATCCCAGATTAGAAGCATCCTGTAAGGGATCCTTACAACACATACACATAACTCTCACAAGATTTTTCCAAGATAATCCCATTCTTTTGCGTATTTGACGCAACTATGATATAATGTCATTAAAAGTCTCTAAATAAGTCACTCGTTCTTTGAGGGGACTGATTTTCTTTTGAGGGGACGCATCTCTGACTCCCTCCTTCTTCTTCTCCATCTCCTCAAAAATAAGTTTTGAGTTTCTCAGTCGATATAAACACATTTTTGGGACACCAAGGTGTCCCAAAAATGTGTTTTCTGTTTGAGTGTTAAGAACTCTCCTACCATGAAGTCTTTCGAGAAGCTTTGGATACCATTTTATAGTGCTGGCTTCAATTTAGATTGACAGTATAATGCAAATCACGATCGAAGGCTTTGTAGCTTTATAAACCCTATAAATATCGCGGATCGCGTCGAAACTGAGCAATATTGTGCACGAGTTGCATAGAACGACCCCTCACTACCAGCTGAGACGTTCGTTTCGCGGATCGCATTGCAATCAACCAATATTTTGAATGTTTGCTAAAGAAAGAAGCTAGTTGAGGTATGCCAAGGAATGAATCAACGATGCCAGATGCGACATTCCCCTCGACAAAAGATCTCGGATTACAGACAAAACGATTGGAGCTGCAGTAGGAATGATGATGTCAGCAAGCGAAGGTCTATATATACTTAGTCACTGTTACTCATGCATTTTCCTTCACTTATACTTATGGCTTTTTTGCCTTTCTGTTCACTCATTCCTTGAACGCAGGATAGCACATTGAAAACACTCCTATCTCATGTTTTCTAATCTCCTTTTGTACATATCTTACAAGTAGTCCAAATTCTACAAGGTATCCAAAACGTCATTTTGGTTTGTCTTATTCTCATCATAGTTCCAACTTTGTTAGCGACTTCGTCACTTTCACTTTTTATGTTGATTTGCTTCGTTGTTTATCTTTATATCTCAAGCAAAGTAAAGATTTATTCAACACGCCCGGCACAGATCGTCTGGAAGCAGGCTGGACTTAGTTTTTGGAGCAAAAAGCAAAGGAGATATCGTTTTTGACGAGTCGGGGCCGAGCACCAAGAGTAAGCTCCATTTAGTCGAAGACAAGCTTTTCAGACAGGGTATCACACGACTGACGTGCCTATCGTGTATTGGAAAAGTGCGTGCGATTTGAAAGCAATGCTAAATGAAAAATTGCTTGTTCATAACGCATACAGAATCGTATGACCCAAAACTAGGCTGTATACATGGAAAATTACTTGCAAAATTATGTAAAAAGATTTGAAAACTTATGTGAAGCAATAGCTTTTCAGAATTCGCCCGTTTCCAGACGGTCACTATACGATCTGAGATCGTATGGAGCATCTTATATATAAAGTTGAATGTCTGTTTGTCTGTCTGTCTGTATGTATGTCTGTACGTATGTTCCGAATAGAAAATTCCATTTCTGAACCGATCCGGACCAAACTTGGCACACATACACTTCGGGCCCCGGCGGGTGTCACAGTCCACTTTTCGTTATCGATCGATGTCGATTTTACCGATTTTTATCGATTTTTTTTGCAGAGTTCACCTACAGGGCTAGGAGTTGGCACAGGGGGGTAATCGAGCATGGGGATTCCGAATACAATATTGGTTTTCGGGATTATCGATTACTTTCATCGATTTTATAGATTTTTTTGCAAAGTTTGAGCTAGGGGGCTGGAATTTGGCACAGGAGGGTAATCGAGCATGCTGATCATCCCCAAGGGGGGTGATCAGCATGCTCGATTACACCCCTGTGCCAAATTCCAGCCCCCTAGCTCAAATTTTCAAAAAATCGATAAAATCGATAAAAGTAATGGACGATCTTGAAAACTAATATTGTATTCGTAATCTGCATGCTCGATTACCCCCTGTGCAAACTCCCAGCCCCGCAGGTCAAACTTTACAAAAAATCGATGAAATCAATAAAAGTAATCGATAATCCTGAAAACTAATATCGTATTCGGAATCCCCATGCTCGATTACCCCCCTGTGCCAACTCCTAGCCCTGTAGGTGAACTCTGCAAAAAAAATCGATAAAAATCGGTAAAATCGACATCGATCGATAACGAAAAGTGGACTGTGACACCCGCCGGGGCCCGAAGTGTATGTGTGCCAAGTTTGGTCCGGATACGGCGGAGCCGGGTAAGCCAGCTAGTATATAATATTTTTGTCACTTCACATAAGTTTTGGATATTTTTATAATGGACGGATTCCCCAGTCAAAAATCTATCCCCGAGCATTGAGAAATCTTTATATCATTGCCTTTCCTTTGTTTTTTGCCTCAATTTCTTCATAAATCGGTTTGTTAAATATTGCACTCCAATGCCAAACTCTTGTGCATGCGTAGTATCCAGCTCCAGTTTGGATTCACTCTTATCTCACGTTTTTTTCTTCCAGACTAGTAAATCTTTCTTGTTTTCATCTTCCCTTAAGTAGCTAGGTCAAAGAGGACTTCGTAAAACTTATGAAAATCAGGGGAGGGGGGACTTCGTTTTTTTCGAAACCCTAGAAAGCGGCTCGTACCTGGCCCTGTTACCCAAGCTTGAGGTAATCGGCAATAAAGGTGTGTTTCGTGTGGTGGTTGGTGTGGTTCAATTGTTCAAGGTTGTGGCAACCTTTCTAGTAACCATATTTTTAGCAACATTGAAAAAACTGCTGGCACTGCTTATTTGGTATAACTTTCCAGTAAATCAATATAATCAGATGCAAATCTTATATTGGGAATCAGCAACTCTAATTATCCTGCTGTGAAAGTTTTCAAGTTGTTTTGTTTCGCTGAGCCAAAATATGACCATCCATGGCTCTCTCTCTTTCTTCCTTTCTTTCTTTCTTTCTCTCTCTCTCTCTCTCACTCTCTCTCATTGTAGTCCCTACCGCAATCCTGCAGTAATGAAGAGAGTGGGTGATTCGCTCTATACTGATCTAAGTTGAAGCCATCTCTATAAAATGCTACCTAAAGCTTCTCCAAGAAGTACATGACGGGAGACTTATTAATTAGACGGGCAAATAGGCAAATTTTCTTGGGATCCTGTACGATCCTGTGCGTGCGAAGATAGCACAAGCAACATATAGTGATAAGTGTGACAATTAAATCTCTAATAAGTTTACACCTTTTATCCAGTTTTTCGTCGATATTTTGTGCAGTGTTTGCTCTTCAAAGCCAGAAGAAAAGCAGACCTCAATTCCATCGATTAGCTAAAAGCCCGCACAATCAAATTTTCTTTTGTGTGGAACAACCTCTGGAAGAACTTATGAGGCTTGAAGTGCGAAACTGTGAAGATTCAAGTGGCATAGAATCGGGGAAAAGCTGTACAAAAACGCTTGAAACTGTGTAATCAATATTGTATCAGGTTATAAAGTACAAGGAAAGGAAAACTGGAAGTCACAGTCAGTGGGCACACGTGCTTTTGTACACCTCTTCGTTGATTTTATGCCACTTGGAGTCTGACAAATTTACAGTTTTAAGGGCTCATCATTCAGAAAAGTGTTCCGCAGGGAGAAAAAAGTAGATCTGAAGTCAGCGTTCGAAAAGCTCTGGTTATAAACCATTTCTTTTCGGTTGGCCAGTGCAATTTATCGTTAGTATCCTTTCCTTACTAGGTCTGAACTGACATCTAACCTGATAGAGTGGTAAGAAGCTTGAAAGTATGGTGAGCAAGTCAAAGAGCCCATTATTCATTTCTAGACCTCTCATGGAGACGGCGTTATCGAAATACTAGGCCTGTCCAACTTTTACGCAGAAAAGGAAGGTCAAGCCCAAAAGATTTTGCAACATCAAATGTTTATAAGTTGTTTTATTTGCAAACCCAATGTGTGATCTCAATTGCTTTTACTCGAGGACGGCCTGTGATCACCTTCGCATTGGATGTCTAAGTCACGCTCTCTCCCTTGAGGTTTCTCCTCTTCGTTCACCTAGAGTTTCCAACGAAGTCCGTTACAGGTTAAGGTGATCAGCCATGACCTGGTAAGTTTTACAGTCGTATGATGCGTTGACAAGTATCTCGGTTGAGAGGTCCTTACTCTCTGACAAAGGTGAACGAGTTGCACATTCCAGCAAGTGACGACTGGTACACCAAACCATGCCAGATTCAATTTTCTTTCCTCTTTGTTGATACATTGAAACGTGCAATGAATGAATAAATAGTAGATTTGGCTGGCATACACAAGACACATTAACTTAGTGATAATTCTTCTTTCTCTTTGTGTTCATAATAAACATAAATGAAGAACCTTCATTGTGTAAACAAGAAACATTATATAAGATAGAAGTTTGTCATGAACAATAAAATTGAAGAATAATTGAGCATCTGTTAATATTAAGTATATCATTGGTAGCGCGCGTGACACGCGCAATCAAAGGCACAGAAAAATATTCGCCCAGGGAAAATGAGCGGTCGTAAAGATTGGGTAAAGCTTCATAAGAAAAAATCAGAGGAATGTTTCGGTTGACAAACACTTTGCTAATCGGAAGAAGTTCAATGTTTATGTACTCGTTTAGAGTGCATGTCAACCGGAAAATATGCTCAACGCAGAGTTGATGAGGATTATTTCGTGACAGTTGTCCAAAAATGCACAATGGGTGAAAATGAGTATAAATACTAGCACCCATGCAACTTGTCACAGAAGGCCTTTTTACCAAAGAAAAAGACGTAAGCATAGAAATTAAAGGTTTCCTAATTTTGCTCCCTATCTTCCGGGTTAGAGACGCAGAACAGCCAGTGAATAAGGCCTTTCCGCGACTCTACCTTTCTGATTGTGACGGGTAGAAAGTAAGGGATTTTTGCAGATAATTTGTTGTCCTATTTTGGCACAGCAATTGAAGCTCTGCTCTAGCTATTGAGCACCAAGAAAGTCAACAATTGATCAATAAGCACACTGATCGCTATCGACCGATTGTTGTCAGAAAATGAAATCACAGAGATGAAAATCAACAGAACGAGTGCAGATCACAGATATAGCGTCTAGAAAAGTCAACGGGATACAACACACAGAATTGCACACTGAGAAATTCTGAACATAGTTCTAGCGGCAGGTTATGCGCTACGAAAGACTGCCGAAAGTGTCTGATATGCTTGTGATTATTAGAAAAATTATGAGAAAATGATGAAAGCATGACTAAAAATGAGACTCAAGGGAGACAAATATACATATAAGCTTTCTCATAACATCGTCACTCCAGAAAGCCATGATAGGGCAAAATCGAGGACGTACAAGGCAGTGTTGATGAAACAGAGTATCTGAAATCACGAACATTGAGAAATTTTTTCAGTTAGGGTGGAGATTACGCCAACTTATTATAAACGAGTTTTTGTTTTGACCTGGTTGATGACCAAAATATCTTAGTTCTCAAATTCTCATCATTTACTGTGCTCAATCAACCGAAAAATCTTGCATACTTAGAAAATATAGAATATACAAATAGAAATTCAAAATCATGATGGATTCGCGAAATATGATAACTCTTCAATTGAGTTCGAGATAATTTTCCACATGAATATTTTCAGCTCGTATACACTTCGAAATGCAAAAGGTGTTAATGGCCTAGGTGAATCAATTTGAAAGTTAAAATTTGAATTTGAGTGAAATTTATTCTTGTGATAATCCTCAATAGGGAAGTACTCAATCTTAGTTCTAACAAAAGTAAGCATTATCTAATGTGGACTCTGACTTCTCTTCCCGGAAAGGCGGAACTTCTAAGAACCACTGATTTTTAGAAAAATGTCGTGATTAGTGCATCTGCAAACTGACTGGGTGACCTTACCCTCCCCCCCCCCCCCCAAAAATAATGCCCTCACCGTTGCGATTATCCACTCCGCTCTATGACAAACTAAATTTATTCGAGGCCCATTCGGTGGATAGCAAGCAGCATAGTATGCTTCCAAACATGACGCTAATAAATAAGCTAAAATCGCGATCAATGTCACGTGAGCATCCTAAAATCAGCATTCAATATGTCAGTAGATTCAATAAACAGGATAAAGGCCCACTTACAACTTTTCGCCACATATGTACGGTATTTGCTAGAAAGCTAGTTAGTAGCAATACAGCAGTGAATATCGCCCATGTGGCCACGATACCCACAACAGCGCCTGCAAAATTTCAAAATAAGTTTTTCAGATGATAGGTAACATAAAATTTGAAAGTTTTCGATAAACAAAAAAATTAGCCCAAACAGCCTTTTACCTTGCCATTCCGTGTTCGTTCGTATGACGAAGTCATGGAATGACGTCCCTCGCATCGGGCCCAAGACTAAGCCTAATATGGCAGCTCCCAATATCTGCAACAGTTATAGTGGTCATGCTTATTTGGCAAGCTGCCAACTCACTACGGTACTTACCAACTCGGCTGCTTTTACAGCTACCCTCGCATATAATGGATATTTTTTCGAGTCTAATTTTTTATCCGTCCGTAACATCGTAGACGGTGGATAGGTGGTATAGGACGGCGCATAGAACGGTCGTATCCGTCGCAAAGTCGTCGGGGCCTAAAGATCTTTAGTAAAGGCAGGAAAAGCAGGCTAGTCACTTCAGATGTTTCAATGCGTCGCGACTCATAGGCGTCGATGCTGGGCGTCGCAGCGCAAAGCGGAAAGTAAACTCTTGCTTGAAATACGACAAACCTCTGTTGGATATCGTTGAAATTGTGCATTGTAGTCGATTGGCGTCCCACCAAAATCAGTTTCCTGCAAGTAATCGATAAATTACTGCCACAGCTCGGTAATTGTGCGAAAAAAGTCCAGTTACTTGTTTATCACCTGATATTGCGATAACCGATACGAGTACGGATCACGACTTTTTCTATATACAGGCGATGGCTTCTTAGTGGGACCCGAAAATGCCTGAAAAGTACATTTTTGAGCGCGGATGACCTTATAGTTAACTAGAAGAAATCCACATCGCCATCCAGTTTTGATATCACTCTATGAAAATTTACCAAACGTGTGCCGACCTTGAAGCGTTTTTCGTATGGATCAGCGGAGATTCCGCGCGATTTACGTGTCGCGGTTGCGGTTCGCAAAGTGGGCGGTGCGGTGCGACCAGGTGCCGTTCTGAAGCATGAATGATATTGCCATATTAACCACAAATGTTACAAATTCCTCTGGTTGCGATTATATTTTATTTTCTTCTTCCCAGGTCAGTTCTTCAGAAAATATAGATTAACTTAAACGACGAGAAATTCAAGCTTGCAAAAATATCGCTTACCGTGACCGTCGCGGCGGTGACGGTTGCGGTTGAGGATAGGGGCGATAGGCTCCGGATGCACCCGGATATGGTCCGTACGCACCCGGATAAGCTTGACCAGCTTGGTAGGCCTGGTTGTAATAGGCGTGACCATTACCGTAGTAAGGCGTGTACGTATAACCACCACCGTAGTACGGATACTGTTGTATGTCACCATATGCACCGTCTGCAATCGTCGGCTATTGGTAGTACTGATAATCGATAGATATTGATTGATTAAAAGATGATACAAACCTATATAAGCGTTTTGTCCATACGGCTCATGACTATAGCCGTCATTATACACGCCGGGCATATAGTAGGCGGCGTTGATCGGTTGCGCCGTGAATCCGCAGTAAGGATCCTGAAGAGAAAACACGCTTAACAGTAGTGAGGATATCGCTGCACACATGAAAATTAGTTCTGTGCAGAAAAAAATGCAAGAAAGGGCTCAGATCAACAACAATCAACGCCTACAACCTAACCAGCGCAAATGGAGCAAAGAAGAAGGATGAGGAATGGGTTTTTTCTTAGAATATAGGCCAGAAGAACACGTTTTTATTGGGTGTCGTTTAGATAGATTAGGTGAATTTTAACAACCTCAAAAATGCAATGCATTGCAGGCGATGAAATGTGTAGAAAAAATTCCGGAAAAGTATTGGAAGCAGCACACAATAAAAGGAAAAGCTGGAAATACAGAGTAAATAAAAAACAGACTTCAAAAATTGTAAAAAGAAACCCTCTTCAATCAGAAATTGTCGCTTCACGTTGAAAAATATTGTTTACAAAGGCTGGAAAATACGGGACAAGAGTTTGCTTAAGAAAGTGAAACATACTAATGTCGAAATATTTTGCTAGTTGTGCAGTTACGTATGATACATTGAATCACTTCATAAATGAACCTTATGTAGCTCATGCGAAGCAAAACAACTGCCAAAGTTTTATTGTCAGAGACGAGATTCTCGAAACTCCACTTGATTTTCAGATTTGCGCACGTAGTAAATTCTCTGTATAAGAGTGTACAGCTTCGTAAGCAGAGAGACTCGAATCTGAAGCTAAAAAGCTAAATTCGCCATTATCCAGAAAATGAGCTCCTCAAGTTCTCATCAAGCGCTCCGCCCTGCAGTAATGTAAATTCACTCGAAAAATCGAACTTCGAGTGCGCAATAGGCATCGATTCTCAAAATACTGTATTGACATTGGATCTGAGGACACCCAGGTTTGCCCATCGACAGATGTGAAAGCGAAGGTGGTTCGGAGGAAATCCGTAGGCTCTTGCGATTCTTTTAAGGGTAACTACACAAGATAGGATAACGTCAAGAGAAAATCGCTTCTGGGGTTTAAAATGATGAGACCGACTAACCAAGCAACAAATGAAAAGCTGCGCGTACTTCAAATCCATTTCCACTATTCACAGTGTCGTTATTCATATATAAAAAAGATAAATATTAGTTCTAGCGATCAGAAATGAAGATCAGCACGAAATATAACACAAAGTGAAATTTAGTGAATGAATTTGTTTGCGCAGAACAACCGTAAAGTGTGTGAATTATGAGCTTATTTGGAAGAAAACGAAGCGTGACAAGAACCTATCGGTGACATCATTGAGAAGAAGAATAATTACTAAAGAGAACTGAAACCGTTTACAAAAGGGGCGGCAGTCTTTTCCAAGTTTTTGAAATCTGATTTGATTCATATTCCAGCCTTCGGATGATTGTATAATACTAGCCAGTAAATAAAACCTGCCCTTTGATTCAATTGACTCAGCGGCTGGAAGGCGCTACTTCATGACCTAATTAAGGCTAGATAATGATCCGAGAGCAGGCGCGCGAGAGAGACGCAGAGTGCGTCGCGGGTGCGAGCTTTCTTAGGTCACAAAACCCCGCCTTCTAGCCGCCAAGGCAGTTGAATTGAAGGTTACACATTAGACAAGATGCAAAAGTAAGGCAGATAGAGATGTTTGATAGAGATTTGTGCAATCGTCTTCGTCACTAATTTTTGTCTACTAAATCTTGTGGAGGTTTAGCGACAAACATTAAAAGCAAGAAGCAAAATTCCGGTAAATCAGTGATGAGCAATTTCTTGGGCTTTTGCGTTTTACATCAAATTCTTGCGGTAGCCATAATAATTCCAAAGCGAATTTCACCTATCATCGACGCAGACAATACACAAGCCGCAGCGGCGCTGAGTGGATCTCAGCGCCTTGGATGACAGCGAAAGCATGACTGTAGATATATAGATAACTGCTTTAGAAGTTAAGCATTGTCTCATCGGCGAATCGAATGCAATTAGGTGGTGAAAATCCAACTCTCAACTTAAACAATCTCTCCATTGTATTTCAGAAATGTTTTTCAATAAACAAGTTTTTTCAACCCTCACTCTACCTCATTCCTTGCTCATACAGGTTGTCTCAAAAGTATGTATACATTGTTTGATCGTTAATATCTCTCTTCTCGAGAGGACACTTGTCTAGTTTCAAGTGACATTTTGTAGAGCTGGTAAACTTAGATATACAATATAAAGCGAGTCACCGATCGCTCTTCACTACTGTAGGATTACGGTAAAAACCATTCGCTTATAGCGTCTTTGCAATTGATCGTGTTTCGAGAAAGTCTCCAAAAATTCTGAAAATGGTGCATCAAAGTTTCTGCGCGTTGACTCCGTTACTTAAATTTTTAGTCTGAAAGGCTTCACAATGGTTAATCACAATTTTAGGACACGTTGAAATAATAGTTATTGCGGTTTACCTAAAATAATTTTTAAAAGAAGCATTGTGGTGAAATGCAAAGTTGTATTTAGTTTCAGCAGCTCTAATTAGCCTATAACAAGAGTTTCCAGTCGTTTGATTTGCTTTCTGAGGCGAAATAGGGCCCTCAAGAGCTTCTTAAAAGGCCTACCGTAATCCTAAAGTAAGGAAAAATAATCGGTAACCTGCATCAAGGCTTCTGCAGAAGAGAGACATAAACGATCAAACGGTGTATACATACTTTTGAGACACCTTGTATATCACTAAATTAAGATAAGGAAGTTTGGGAAAGCTGAAAAAAAACTATTTAGTTCTCGAAGCTTCAAATCAATCTGCGATTTGTCTGCAAAATTTCGAGGATTTGTCAACATCGTGTGCGCACGCAGACATTGAGCAGACATGGCTAGCACTATCTAGTGGACATCAAGTGTTCTTCTTAGGACATCTTTTAGAGGCAACCGCACACGTCGTGCTGTAAGAAAAGCCGTCCTCCATCAGTTCTGCTCAACGCGCGACAGGCGACGAAACGAAAGGCGAGTGAAACAAATCCGGTCTTTAAAGATAGGATATGTAAATAACGAGGTGGCTCAGCGGTCTTATCCAGAACACAACCAGAACTTTCTGAACATGTTTGGGATAAGCCGATAAGAGCAGCGTTCGACGAAGGTAGAGCAATGGGAACTGTGACCAGAGACCGTTTGCAGAGGGCAGAAAATAAATTGGAGTAGTTCGCGTGGAGAGACGTTTTACAGAATGTGTGCTCTTTGACGTAGTAGAAAAGAAAGAGGGAGAAGAGGAGGAATAGGAGAAATTAAAATTTCAAGCTTTTACACCGTCACAAACAAGACTTGATTTTTACAAATAAGAAGTGCCTGTCGTGTCAAGAAACAAGGAGATTTCAAGCTTGTAAATGAGCTACATTATAGTGTAAAGGGCATGGAGAACTTGAGTAGAGAGATAAAAAGCAAGTTTCACCAGTTTTAGGAGTAGGACGATTTAGAGTTTAAGCTTAGTGTAAGAAGGTAAACTTCGAAATTTTACAGCTTCAGATTTGAATGTTTTTGTAATTTATATCGATATGGATTCACAGATAGTAGGTATTATAGCTCAAGCAAATTTCATAAGCCTCTTAATGCCTTTTTGATGATCAAATCAAATAAGAACTTTGAAGCGGTGCTTCAGCAAAGTTAGCACAACAAGATTGGGATTCGCTGATGTCGTAAATATTATTGCCAATTACTGTAGACAGTTATTCTTACACCAAAGGTATGAGTATAAAGCCGTTTACTATTAGGAGCTTTCGTATCATAGGCTTGTGCGACCCAATTTCTTATAGTTGCAAAACTCGCTGAACTAGCTCCTAAGCGTCAATGTAAAATAAAAACCAGAGATGTTCCGGTGCAATCACCAGTTGGTGATATATAGTATAGAACATTAATTACACAGCAAGCAAATCAAACATTTTGTTTCTTATGCTCCACAGATGTAATAAAGATAGGAGTACGACTCTGTAAGGAACTGACCGGAAGATTACTTAGCTTCTATGTACATCTAGCTGAGTGTAAGTTCTGTCAAGCTTGGGTAACTGAACCAGAAATGGAGGTTTTTTTGCTACAGTGACAGAAGAGGTTTATTTAAGCTTGAATACTGCTACAGATCAAGTTCGCGGATAGAAAAAACAAAGCAGCAGCTAAAAAAGAGTAAGATTAAGCATGAGCTGCAGTCATGTTATTTAAGAATGAAACAGTCGAGATTTTTACGATTATCGTGACAGTGGTGGGATAAATTAGCCATGTATGTCCGAAAAAAATTCGCTCAAACAAATAAAGAAGGTATGAAAGGTATTAGGAACCTCACTGAAGCCATGTAATTACAAACAATATTTTGCATGCAAATCATCTTGTTACAAAATCAATAAAAACTCCAGAATCATCTGGTCTTGATCCGAAGGTGCAAGCGTAGAAAAGTAAAAGGTTACAAAAATGGCTTATTACCTGAAAATTATTGTAATAGCGTAACTTCTACAGTTTTGAGAAATGACAGCAGTAATACATTCAGAATAGATTCAGTTGATAGCAACAGTCAATTTTACACTAGTGGAATGCGTAAGTCGTATCGCTAGCGAACTCAAGAGCAGCAGCTGAAGCGTCGTCGAAATGCGCGTATGCAAACGAATTTCAAGTGGACAGGCGACGTAGTTAATTAAATACAAAGCGGTTGTGGGACACGTCTAGAAGAACTCTCGCTATGACCATTACCTTGAGATGGGAAGGATGAGAGAGGGTAGAAGAAAGAGGAAGTGGACAATGGAATACACGAACTTCTAGAAGTAAACACTCACAAAACGATAGAAAAAGCAAAAAAATCGCAATTTCCAAGTGCTCATCTTGAAGCAGAGGTTTCACCAAGGATTTCTCTTTCTATGCCCTATAAGGGAGGTGGGGTTTCTCGTAGGATATTATACGCCAATGCAAGCCAAGAAATTAGAACTTATCATCGAATCATTTGTAAGTTGATATGGCTATTGCACACCATGCGCGCTATTCTACGACTTGTAAGATTTAAATCTGCTCATTATTAGTGATTTCTCGTTGTTTCATTGTCTCTTTTGATTTGGT